TTTGAGGACGTAATAGAAGCCCCCTCCGAAAATTTTGGATGGTGGACAGTTTAGAAGCCCCCGGGGGCTTCTAAACTGGGGGTTTACTAACTATTGCTATTGTCAATTGTCTTTGTCTGCTCCTCTATAGATAGTAATCACATAAAAATGAAAAATTTTCATTTTTATGTTATTACTATCTATAGAGGAACAGACAAAGACAATCGGCAGTAACAATAGTTAGTAGGCAACCATGCTCACATAAATAGATTATCAATAGTTTGATAATATAAATTTTTGCTATTGAAATAAATATTATTGTATGGATGCATGGGAGTCCTATAATTTTTGGATACCCTATATATCTTTTGTTTTGCATAATAAATTGGACATTTACTTATTCACTTCAATACGTGACAGAGTTTTTTCCGAGATTGATTCAGCACCGTCCACGAAATTTGTTTTTTATTATTTTATTGTCATTTCTTCTTACCACAAATAAGCGTTACTTGAACAATTTGATAATAGAACAAAAATAGTACTCGCATCGTAGCTATTGATCATTCGAATGAATAAAAATATTATTTGTCAATCTAAAATAGTAAAGAACAAGAAAAATTTTCTTTTTTACATTTATATTAATGAAAAAAATTGGCATTTCGATAAATCATCATTTCACAATACTTTACTTATACATGGGTGGCACACCAGAAATGGAAGAAGTAATTGTTATGTCATGCCATCTATATATATGTATTGTTCATCTATTCTCTTTTCTTTCTTCTTCTTTGATGATATATATATGCATGCGATATTATGTACCGGTGGTGATTCTTTAAGTTTAAGAAATAAGCAAAATTTATGTTCTACGTAAAACGAACTCGAATTTGCTCTTAATACTGCCTTAGAAAAGTAGAATATAACAGTAATGCTTGTTTAAAAATAGTGACCGTGGGTACTTTTGCAATAACTTAAGAACAAAAAGGGCTAGAGAGCTGCGATTTTCATCATTGTATAAACAATTGAGTGCCCTATGAATTCACTAACAAATAGTAAAAAACATTGAAGCTTCGTATGATGTTTTTTATGAAGCTTTAAAAGATTCTGGTGTGATTTTCTTAAATCTTATCATGACTTACAAGTTTTAAATGTCCAAAAGATAGGCCAGATGACTCTCTACAAAATGGCGAAAGGCCAAGCTACCTAGCTATTATGATTCAAAAATAGCACACATTTTTCTGTCGCTTATGGCAGTGGCTTTTCTCAGTAGGATAATTTTGCGAGTACACACAATAAAATACATTGTTCATCATGACTTCCTTTGTGGAAATTGTTGTTTTGCATCTCGAACTACTTTTTTAATTGAAGATAAAGAGGTAGAGTATGCAGAAGCAATATGGATTCAAAATATGTAATTAAAATTCAAAAATATCAAAAAGTCTCATTTTATGAGTCATATATTGCAAAATATCATTTGTTGCCATAAATGAATGTTTCATTATGATATACCATACTCATTTAGTTTATATCGTCTTCGCCATGTTGTATCAGCATTCTAAGGATTATTGATTTGTTTTCTTTTGAAGAATTTCCTCGTATCAAGACCTCTTCCAAAAAAGCAGCATGAACAACACCATCAAAGGTGAATGTTTAAGCATATGCATTAGCTACTAGTTGTATTATACAAAGACGATGGCGATAAACCTAAAAGATGCTAAGAGAGTGCCCATGCCACGTAGGTAAGACGATATAAACTAAATGAATATAGTATATCATAATTGGGTGTGGGTGTGGGTGTGGGTGTGGGTGTGGGTGTGGGTGTGGGTGTGGGTGTGGGTGTAGCTGTTTACTCATCTTAACCTGTACCACACCTACATGCACACATATCCACACCCGTACCCACATTCTGTAGATGTGTAATGTAGGCATGGATGCCACTGTTGAGAAGATCGACACCCATATCCTTATATATTGAGTCTTTTTAAATTAATTACGGAGCTTTTCAAATTATTTACCGTGCTATAACTAACTTTTCACCAAGAAAAAACTACTGAGGGTATAATAAAAAAAAACA